AGTGAGAGCTAGATGTTTAAGACCCTTAAGTCTATTATTATGTTCAAAGATACGACGCCTAAATGCAACAATTACAAGGTCAAGTCCAGAAAAGGTTTATTAAATTAAAGCCATTTTGCTCATTTTTTCAAAATCATCTAAATGTGATTTATAGGCCTTGATGTTGTTCCCAGGTCTTCAATTTTGGACAGACATTGCCATGTCGCTACCTTAAAATAACAAAGTTCTATCTGACATTTTTAACCGTTTTAAGTTACATTACGGGGCCAGAAACCAAATGTTCTATCTGCTCTATCTAAATCTAAATCGTAAAATTATTCGGAATCGTCAGCAAGATATTCAAAGAATTGCGTCAGGAAAAGCTTGACGTACATGTACATATAGAGAAACTCAAAATCTTTGACGTCCAATTTCTCAAAATTATTATAATTATGTAGGCTTACTGAACAGATAGAACTGTGTAATTCTGAGGTCGCGATCATGTATATCTTCAGAAACAACGATTGCAGCAACAGCTGCAGCAACAGCAGCAGCAACTTGCGAATGATTTTCCACTACATGTATAACAATGTTGAAAACCTCATTTGATGTTAATATGTTTCTCTTCTTCATCAGGAGTCAGGTCAGGAGCAGACATTGGCGGTGGGTGGTTGGCGGGTGCTACGGTGTGGTTTGCTTCCTCTTTCCTATCCAACATATATCGTCCTTATCCCCCCTTCTTCTTTGTTGTGTTTGTTACTCTCTTGTATTTGTAACACCTCTAATCTTCTGGGGCTCATTATATGACCTTATGCAGTTGCGAGTGCCGTAAAAATTTATACTAAAACCACATTCTGTGACTAAAACTAACAAAGACATTGACGATGAATGTTACCGGCCACTCTTTCCTGTTGTCTGTCTTCTTGATCAGCTCGGTTTTCCACTGAAGATAACAATTAATGTCTAACAACATAATTAATTTTGATATTGTGGACACGCAGTATACAAAAATAGAGCGTTATATCTGACGTCCAGAGCGATATGACGCACCTGTAGATAAATATTATGACCCAAATATATTATTATCAATATAATACAGCGATAAAGATAATAAAGCACGCAGGTATAAAGAGATATCCGACATAATAATTATTATTAGCCTATCGTTGGCCGGGTGTTGAATGTTAAACCCAATTTCTTTTTTCTCTGTTGCATTTGCTCAAAGAAATAATAATATATTAATTAATTTATTTTTTTTGTCGAAATAAACTGGCAATTCGAGCACCGGGAAAAAAAAAAGAAAAAAAATTGTCAGAAGTGGGATTCGAACCCACGCCTACAAGAGTAGACTGCGACCTGAACGCAGCGCCTTAGACCGCTCGGCCATCCTGACAGACATCAAAAGCGTCCGCCTTACATTATAATTCCAACCCCTAGTCGTACTGGTTTTTCATTCTTTCTCGTTGCACATTATATTACATAATATTTTCTTTTCGCTTTGTTTCCTTTCATTGCTATTTATTTCATAATGAATATGATATATAGTATAGAAT